TTTTATGACGAAATGAGAAGGGCCAGGCCGGCGCGGCCCACACATTACATTAAACTATTCTAAGTTCGAGATTGCATCCTTTACCACACAACCAATCATGAGTTTTATGTATATTATAACGTACCATCATTACGCATAACAAATACTTAGATGTTTAGACTTACAATAATAACGCATAGAAACCTAGGCCGCACACGCTAAGTGAGGCAAATTGAAGCGCGCCAAAAGGGCCTACACGAGCGGGCGGGCCGTCAGTGATCAAGGTCAACTTGCACCGCGAACAGCTCAAGAATTTTAGCTAAAAATGACGAAATGTGCGGTAAATGAGTGTAAAAATACGTCAGACAAACATAAAATAGATACTAACACCACATTCCACAAGGAAGTAACGCGTTTCAACTTATATTTTTACATAAATATTCACTAAAACCGAAAATTAACCTACTACTAAAACTAGCCTACATGAATTTGATTTTTGCCTCAATTGTGACAGTACGTTTGATATGAAACTATCATTCTATGCGTTATTATTCTAAGTGTTTAGATTGTAGACAATGAAAGGTGCTTGCATAAAACTTATAGAATGATATCTTACTGGCAGTAAAAACTATTAGCCACCATTGCCAACAGAAAAATGAAAATTGTTAGGTTGCCTAGCAGCCGCGACCAGCGAATTGAGGAAACCTATTATTTATTTTGCAATTTTTAAACGTTTACAATGTCTCCAACGAACGAACCCGTGAAAAAGCCGAACCCTAAAATTAAAGATTACCACGAGGGGATCCCTTACCACCTTGTACCTAAAGGTAGTAAGGCAGGATGCTACCAATTACACACGTAAGTCTTCTTAGAAATTTCGTTGAGAACTTGACTCAAGATATTCTTGAAAAAGTTCTGGTATGTGAAATGATTAATGCGGCTGGAAGAAGCGAACTATCGCATCAAAAATAAAACCATAATCTCTGGCTACCTTGTTGAGGCAGACCTTAAAGCTCTGCGACATTTTTAAGTATGATTAAATTATGATTTTGGTTTCGACCTTATAACCAATGTATCCAAACTCAATCTTATTTACGATCTATCATTTTCAGGCCTTACGATTGTCGTCTAAAATTCCCATTGACGAAAAAACTTATACATAAATGCGAGCGTCCAGCAGTCGAAGTAGCACGTATTCAACAGCACGGCTTAGGTTTGAGGAACCTCGTAATACCTAGAAAAGGGCCTAACTACTATCCGGCTGTGATGCACAAGTCGGAATATGAAAGACTTAAGATGCAGGCTAAGGTAAGCGCCTGAGCAAAATTATGTAGCAATGACACTTAATTGGTGTGAATGTTTTACATAGGCGCTTCAATTAATGTTGAAGCTCTAATCTGGAGTGGTATGCCTTCCTTAATTACTTAATACTGAGTAAATGCTAAGTATTGCTCGTCTTTAAAAATATGCTGTCCTGCAGAGTTTTTTACAGACGGTACTACTACATTTAAGGCCCGGGTACACGGTCTAGCTATTTTTTATTTTACCTTTTTTTACCACGGGCAAACTTGCGCAAGCCATGTAGATGTATGTATCATATAATATGTGTCCATATGTACTGTTTGAGTATTACGGTTTACAATTATTAATACAAAGGTTTTTTCTAAATGTTCGCATTTAGAAAAAAATTCCTTCGATCCGGCCGGATTCGAACCGACGTCTCCTAGCAAACCGTGACAGACGCTATGCCAACTAAGTAACGGAACGCCATCAACCGTAACGCCATCTATGAGAAATCTATGAATGTATTTCGTCACCCAGTTAGGCACCTTTACAGCTACCAGCTCCTAGAGATGTCGCTGTTCACTGTAATGAAGTGTTTTATTGAATATCAGCATGTTCGATGTTTCTGATCTAAGTGTTCGATCCGGTTGGATTAATAATTGTAACAAACTAGTGGAATAATTTCACAAAAAGTAATTGAATATCATGGTGGCGAAACATCCGGGCACACAATAGAATTTCCAATTTTATTACAGTTTACAGAAGGTATACTTGATTGATAGTATTAGGTAATATGTAATGTCACAATTTGGAATTCGATTTTGAACAGCATTTACCTTTACCACTTTTGTAACACATCGGCTGCAAGCTTTGCTTTCCAAGAGCTTTATGCGTCGATTTTTCTCGCGTCACTACACTCTGACGAAGAACGGACGGTATATCATGTTACAACAGTCCAAAACTGTGGTGGATGCCTGCATTCAACGTACTTACCGATTTTATGCTCGAATTCGAGCTGCCACTTGCAAGTTTACTCGGTGAAGCCCGGCCGTGTAGACGAGCCATACAAATAGAATGCCTGACTATATACAACTTACAAATAACAGCAAATTTGTTTGTATGACTTATCAGCAGGGATCGGAATAGGTGGTATTTTTACCTAAACTTCAAAGAACATGGACACAAAATGGAGACTGCCTTACGACAATATTTTTTAGATCCTTTACGGGATTCCGGAAATCACTTATGAACATTAAAAATTGACGTAATTGGGAACAGGCAGGTAAATTATGTTTATCTTAACTTTGCGATGTTCGGGGATATTATTCTTAATGCCAATCGAGGGATCCTATTACCTTATCTAAATATTGTCATATCACATTTTGCCATAAATGTAAGTTTAATAGGAAAAAAAATAAAATGTAAATTTTTTGAATGGGATCATACTATTAGTGCCCCATCGTTACAAAGTCTTAGTAGCTCCAGTCTTGGAATCACTACAGACGTATTATTAGACCTATCTTCTACAGATTTGCATACTAAACGCGCGCCTAAACCTGCCTATTCACTACTTATACACGTCAGAAAATCGACCCACTGTGTCGCAAAGTTAAGATAAATATATTTTATTTATTTTTATTTATTTATTTATTTATTTATATTCAGGTTACTGAGACCCATAGATACATACCTTACAGACTAACATACATAACAATATAAAATAACACTAATTACTAATTTAACACGTATTTAGGTTGTCGGCGACGTGTGGCGCCATCTGGTGTCAGGCAACCGGCCACGGAATCGCCGGTATAGGACACCCTTCGGCCAGAACTCCTCCTTCATGAAGGTCGACAGATGTTCGGTCGGCACTCTCACCACAAACGAATTAAAGTTCACGTAGTGGCGGGACTCCAACCGGTCGACCCTCAGGGTGTATTTGGATTTCAACCTGATGTACTCCACTATCTCCTCAGACTTCGTGGAGTAATGCAGGCGTGACAGGTACAGCAGCGTTGTCGGGATTGCCGGACGCAGCAAAAAGTTGGACCCTGTCGGTGCAGTGCCGCACAGGTTACGGCTGGTGGGCTTCCTCTTCTTCTTCTCCACCTTTGTGAAGCCGTCATCGTCGCACCGGTCCGTCTGCCTCTGTGGTTTTGCAACTTCAGAGACAGGTACACGAGGTTTTTTCATCCCCTTCGTTGATAGCTGCCTGGCTTGTGGTTGTGGAGCAACGGGTCGGTTAACAGCTGCGACAGCGGCGTAATCACGTGGAGGGGTCAACGTGTTTACGCGTGACGTCTCCGCCGGAGCGGACAATCGAGGGGCGGGGCGCGGGGAAACGCGCTCAGCGACAGCGGTCGGTGACGCATCCGTATGGGCCGACTCAAAACTGCCGATAGATGCATTATGTGCCCCGCGACGAGTATTCACGTTACAGGCCTCGGGTGACCTACTTACCGAAGTTGCACTACTCAGTAATACAACTTGGGCACGTAACTCACAGATGGTGTTATCCGAAGCCTCCAATTTACATTGAACTTCGGCCAGACTTGCTTTCAGGGATGTGATGTCCTTAAGCAGCCTAGTGACATCGACATGGTCGAACGTGACAGGGGGCAGCTTGTGCAGCTCCTTTGCCACGAAAGCAGGCACGTCGTCTGGGTCGGTTTCCTTTAACATCGTTATAATGTCCTGGATACTCTTCGTTCCTCCATCCCTCCGGCGAGATGGCATCTGCTCGGCCTTGCCAAGCACACGGAAAAGCAGCGCCTTGCCACTGCAAATCTCATCTTCTTTAAAGTTTGATTTGCAGATCTGCATGATGCTGACCTCGTCCATAGTGTCGATGGCGTGTTGTATGAACGCCAGTAGTTCATTGGCTATGAGTTGTTGGGAACCCATAGTCAATTACGCGCAGCGGTCATTACCGCGCGGATCGCGAATTAATATAATTCTTACTGTGTGAGCACGTCCGAATCTGAGCGTGCATCACACCGGACTGGATATAGTATATACCTACCTGTCTCCAATTACGTCACTTTTTAATGTAGGTACTTAAGTGATTTCCCGAATCCCGAACAGGTCCTGGACCTAAAAAATATTGTCGTAAGGCAGTCTCCATTTTCTGTCTATGTTCCTCGAAGTTTCGGAAAAAAACTCCACCTACTCCGATCCCTGTTTACCAGGCAAAACAAACGCATGGCCAACAGCCCCAACACATACAATTAATTTTGTTCTTTGGTTAGCTATTCACAAGTTTAGGTTCCTGCAACGACGATGTTAATATAAATTTTCGACAAGTATTTGTATGTCAAGAAGATCTTTAATTAAGAGTCGATACTACCTGAGCCCGAATTCAAATTTTTCCCGTACTGTTCATTGTGCTTCGATCGAACGGGCACTGGGTTTATTTCAGAATTAATATTTTTACAAACGAATTTAATGCTATTTTAAAAATGTATATCGTATACTTACACGTGTTCTATGTAGTTCAGTTGATGTAAAAAACAATTATTGCTAATATTGTAAAATACCTAATGTATACAGTGGTTTTCTTGTAAAATTTCGACGTAAGTTTGTTTTTTTACTGTATATTTGTCTAAAGTGTTTGATTCAACACTTTCATTGTCATGCGAAATCAACCAAAGACATTTGAGATTGTAACGGCTCTTAATGTCACACTATAACCTATAACAGAATAATCCAGTTATTGTATAATAAGTGATGTGGTTTTCAGATAGTAACCCAAGAGGAAATATTGGCAGGAATGCACGCACAGGAAGCAGCTATTCAGAAAGCAGCAAAAGAATCAGAAGCTCGCAAGCAATTGCTGAAAGAAAAGCTGAAACAGCAGCCTGGGGCTGAAGCAGCTTCTGGAACTGCAGATCCCGAGCTGGAGGGCCCTGACCAAGCTGGTCATACCATTACCAGAGCTGAGAGTAAGTAACAGTCAGTAGTGATATATGACCATGTCATGATATATGTAAGTGAGCTTTATTAGCGCCTTTAGCCACTTCCCCGAACAGTAGATTTTATATACTGTCTTCTTGAAGAAGACACTTCGGCAATTTCATATATCGGAGCCAGCTATCACTTAATTTAAACGTAATTTATTAGATAAACTTTTTCTAGGCTGTTTAGTGCGCTGTATGGTCTCTTTGTTTTCAAACGTCATGTCAGTTTGACAGCTTAAACTGGATATGGTCGGAGAGAAGCTTTTTGTGTAAGTTGCTTGGACGGTACCGCCTCGCTCTCTTTGAACTTGCCGCGTGATATTTAGAATCCGTTTTAACCTCATCCATCTCTTATACTTTCGGACTAATAACTGTGAAAAGTGCATAAAACAACTAATTGCAATCAGCTGACGTTACTATTTCACCGCCGGCTGAACGAATTGATAACTAAAAGTGAATGAGCCGATTATCAAGTAATTCCTGACTAAATATGCTTTGAGGGTGTTTCCTTCGACGTCTCCCTTTCCGACCTTAACTCCGACACATTATTAACATTGACTTACAATTATATGAACGTTCGGGTCCGCGCTGAAAAGTGTCCGCACTTGTAAGGCGCTAAAATCGTATACAGAGCGCTACCTCCGCTTTAGTCTTCATTTGTTCGACTGACAGCGCGATACTGCGATGACATTACAATTTAAATTTCGAATAGGTTGACTTAGGACATTTTTTTGGTGGTTTTTGTATTAGACCCGTCGTCCATTTATTTGTAAGTCAATATTATTAAGTTTATTTTATAATGCGTATAAAATAAACTTTTGTATATTCACTGACACAATTGCATTTCTTTTAAAGTAAATTGACTTACTCTTCATCACTACTTGTACCTGGAGCAAAGATAGTGTTAACGATGGAACGAGCTCGCCCGAAAGATATCCATTCAATCGCACCTTACAGAGGCTCGGAAACACATTTGCAGGCAGGGAATTCCAATCCTGGGCTGTGCGCATAATAAAAGATGATGAAAGGCGCTTAGTACGCCCGAAGGGAATATCGACCAAGTAGGGATGATATCCCGCCGTACGTCTGGATGTCCGATGGTAAAATGAGGCGGGCGGGACGAGTTGATGGGCACATTCACCTACTTACGCAAATTTTTTTTAAATGTGACGGTATGGGGAAATCCAAAACCATAGAAGATGTGGTATAATATATGATAATGAATAACATTTTATTAACCGATTTCAAAAAAGGAGGAGGTTCTCAATTCGACTGTGGTCTTTTTTTTTTTTTTGTATGTATGTTACGCGATAACTCCGGTATTTGTGAACCGATTTTCATGATTCTTTTTTTGTTGGAAAGGGGGTACTTCCTAGTGGTCCCATTTCATTTTGAAGGAAATCATCCACCTCAAAGGGTGGCTGTTCACGCATGAAGATTCATTTTTATAAATAGCGCCTAACTTTAATTTAGGAGCAATTATTTAGTTGATTTTGCTATTTCATCAATCAAGGCGTTTTTCCCTCGATATACTTTGAGTAGTGTCGTAGTGAGAACCTATTTTCATTATCTCCAGTATAGCAAATAGACGTAATTCCACGTACTTTTGAGGTCGGTTTTTTTAGTACTCTGTACTGAGATTATTAAATTTAACTAACTTCTGCTGTCCCGATTCTTTTCTTCCAATACAATAAAATGATTCTTATAAGAAACTGAGTCATAATAATCTCAGAACAGAGTACTAAAAAAACTGACCTCAAAAGTCATTCATCCCTTAGTTTGTCACCCTTAGAGGTGGGAATTTTTCTTCAAATTTAAATGGGACCGCTTCTGACGTATCCTCTTTCCAACAAAAAAGAATCATCAAAATCGGTTCGCAAATACGAAGTTACCGCGTAACAACAAAAAAGCAGTCGAATTGAGAACGTCCTCCTTTTTTTGAAGTCGGTTAAAATAGTCAATTTTATTCATTTTGTATGAACAACATTTAGCGAAATTTGACTCACTTCTGCTGTTCCGATTTTTTTGAATTTAATGATCCTTACATAAGTATTCATTCTTATGGACAATTCACGCTTGACCAAAACATTGATTATGCCAAAATCGTTTTCACAAAAAAGACTTAATGGTTCCTAAGACAGTTTCCTTGTATCTTCTATGGTTTCGGATTTCCTCATACTATCCCATTTAAAAAAAACACTGTAGATAAATATCTTATAATTTCATTCGTTTCGTTCAGTTCATTCGTTTGCTCTTGACAAAAAATACCGCTACAGAACCACTGGAAGGGCGTTATGCATTGTTACGATAGTACTGTTGCATTATCCAAGCAGTACATACTTCAGCACCGTAGGAGTTAACCGGTGTGGCTCTAAAGCCCTTATGCAACAAATGTTTGTTGCTTAAGCAGTAGGTATTACGCATCTGCGCAACTTTTTTTTATAATACTAAGTGAAGGTACGAACAAGTAGTGCACCTGTAGAGCTAACACAACAGGGCGCGCGACATACGCGAGAGCGACATAAAGCGCGAGATGCTGCCATTCTCGCATAGACATTATATGATCGCAGAAAAATCTGTGATATAATGTATCTTTTAAATATTATAAACGGCAAGGTTGATTGCATTGACTTATTGGGTGAACTCTCATTTAATGTTCCAACACGTTCCATGAGACACTACCACCCTCTTGTAGTTCCCATAGCGAAGACAAACTATAGACAGAATAGTTTTATATGTAGAGCTAGTAGGAGTTTAAATGGTGTGCTAAGCGACTATGACCTGGATGTAGATATATTTAATTGTAACATTGATGCACTAAAACGTAAAATAACAGATATATTAATTAATTTAATTGAAAAACATGTGGTTGTTGACGCACGTATAGGATTGCTGTATTTATTAGTTTTATTAGTCCAATGCTCGTGTTTAACTAACTTGTAGCTATAAGTGAAAACCTGTAATTGGCTTTATGTTTTTATTGCTGTTTCTTACTAAATGTTTATAGCTGTTGGTTTTCCATGAATAAATAAATAAATAAATA